AATGCATTACTTTTAAAAGTAACTTTCCCCAACACTGTTCGTGAATAAAGCACCGCTTCCATCTTATGTGTTCAAGAGAACAAAATCGTCACTTCCTGGAAAAGAGATTGATTTCAACAAGAATCCATGCGACTGGAAGTTTAGTGCGGGGACGAAAATGTCCTCATGCAGATTTTGGTACGTTCAAGTTGATCACACAAATTTTAATAACACACCAAAGTTTAGTTTGAAAGTGACTTCTGTGTGACTTGTGCTTCATACATCGCTAAAATATTGACAACAGAAAATGCCATAATTTCGCTGAGACCGCATTTCCATTGTGTTTTTTTAATGTAATATCCCATAATTAGCTAATGACTTCCAAGTCATTTGCTAATTTTGCTTTACAGACGTAAAGCAAGTCTTACCACAGAAAGAGACGCCCACAGGCTGTTGCATCCTCTGCTCTGGTGTGGAGGGCACAGTTAGGGCGATGGCCAGCATGCTACCCAATGAGGTGCCCACCCACAGGCTGGGCACTGCCACAGTCTCACTCTTCTTGGACAGCCAGTCACAAAAATAGAAGGAGGAAATGACCTCACGTGACTCTCTGTCAATGCTGGTCACACTGGAGCTGCGTGAGCGGCTGAACGAGTTGTCCCTGGCGTCTGAGGACACAGTGACCCATCAGTGACAAAAACACAACAATAAGAGGACAATTAGCATGACTTTTTTCAAATCAAGTCTGAACCACCTCAGGACACCTGAAATCAAAGGACAAAAATAGCTTAACAATTAAGCAGTTAATATACTGATGATACATTCTTAGTAAATAAGCAGTATTAATATAAACTTTGTTTCAGTGTAGTGTGTAATGTGTAAGACATACAGCAACTGCATGCAAAACGTTGCCATGAAATCACCATAACATTTCCATTCAATATGAAGAAAACTTGCAATCACCAATTACAGAACATTGTTATGCTGTTTTATTTTCACGCTCGGAGACCCAGATGCATTCAGATATCTTTCTGGCAAGCCTATAACACTAAATTTAGTATAAATGCACATTCTAAAAGCAATGCAAAGATAAGTCTCACCAAAACATGTCTGGCTCATGTTTTACTCCAAAAATCAAAAGAAAAAATAATAAACTATTTTCTGCATAAAGACCGCATAAAACCTAAAAATAAAAAAAATATTTTGGGGTGAAATATGACCCAAGCTTTTTTTGTTTGTGAGATTTACCTGTGAAATGTCTGAAATATCTTAGTAAACTTAAAAAAAAAGATTTGA